GGCACCAAGTAAAACACGATTTTTGGAAGCAAAAAACTTACCGAAAGGGTGATGTCGGAGTGGCGGTCTTCGCATAGTGGTGGTGGTGGCAGAGTGAAGGTGCTGGCCGTAGGAGGTTAAAGGAATGTCGATGGAAGTGGGAGACATTCAGTTTTCTGGATGTCGATGGGTATTAGGGCAAAACGGGCATGAGGCGTTTAATAGAATAATTTCCTGAAAATATGCATCCCTTAATATTACCTTCACTTTCACACTCGTTTATAATCCAAGCTAGACAATATGTATTCAGGCACCAAGTAAAACACAATTTTAGGAAGCAAAAAACTTACCGAAATAGTGATGTCGGATCGACGGTCTTGGCAGTGTGGTGGTGGTGGCGGAGTGAAGGTGTTGGCCATAGGAGGTTAAAAGAATGTCGATGGAAGCGGGAGACATTAGATTTTGTGGATGACGATGGGTATTAGGGAAAAAGGGGAATGAGGTGTTTTTCATTAAGATACCGACTCAAGTGGTTGCACCGAAAGGATAAGAGGAGCATCTAGTGAGATCAATAAAGGGTTTTACAAAAATTTAGGTTTCAATAGCGGGGAAAATCAAACTTTTGAAATTGATAATCAAAATATTTGAAAAAAAATTAAACATTGAACATTTTTTGGTTAAAATGGAATTATTTTTCTTCATACACTTCACATGCAATGCCATACGAAAATTTTATTTCATTATCTTGCAAATACTATTATTTAATATGTGTTTAAATATTTGATTAATAGTAAAAGTCATCAATGCACATGGAAAATACAAATTCATGGGTCAACCAAGGAGAACAATTACGCGAGCCCGCTAGACCGCCTTGACAGAATCCTAACCCATTGTTGATCACTATCTTAACAATACCACCCTAACCCATTGTTGATCACTATCTTAACAATACCACCCTAACCCATTGTTGATCACTATCTTGATGACTCAGTTCTCCCTTATGGTGATATGTGATATGGGTAGGTTATGTGGGCATAAAGTGGGTAAGTAGGATGATGGTTGAAATTTAAAATTTATCTAAAACAATGACCATATTTAAAATAAAGCAATAATTAATTATACTCAAAATATATAAAATGAAAATTGGATTAAACACAAATTAAAAAACAACATGTATAGGAATAGGGGTATAAGTATGGGTGTTTAGGGTATGGGTATAGGTATAGAGGTGGGGTGACAATAGGTCTATGGGTGGTGGTTAGGATGATCATGTAGGTGTAGTGTGAGGGTTGGATTTGAGGTGGGTGTGGGATAGGCGTGTGTAGGTGGTGTATGTTATATAAAGGTAAGGATTTCTTGGCATAGGAGTGGGGATGTAGATGTAGGACAATGTGGGGTGTGGGGATGGGATGTTGGGGGTATGATGTGGAGGTGAGGTGAGGTAGATATGCAGTGACATAAACGTCAGTATGGGCTTGTAGGAATAAGCTTATAAATATGGGTATGTGAGGGTATAGGTGTAGTCATATGGTAACGGTGAACATGGTTGGAACTAGAGTATCTATGGGATGGGGTTGGGTGAGCATGTGGTCACCCATCCCTACCATCACAACTACCCATCTATACGTACACACCCATATGTATACCCTACCCTATCTAAAATCCATATGCTCACCCTTCCATACCCAAACCCACATCTACCTACATATACACCCACACCCACCTGCCTATATACCATCTAGCTTTACCAACCTAGGCATGTGCACCAAAACCTAAACCTACACACATACACCTAACATCCACCCCTAATTTATACACCATACCCCATCCCTACCACCACAACCATCCAACCCCATCTGCAAAACTTACACCAACACCCTACCATATCCCAAATCCCCTTATCCACCTACCTCATCCCACTTATACCCTACAATCTTACCCCCACAAACACCCTTATATCCACTCTGACCCACCCTCACCCATACCTAAAACCACCAACCTCATCACACTACCACTTACACCTATACACCTATCAATACCGATAATTACACCTTCCATTAATGTTTTTATTGATTGGTTGCAAAAGGTTGAAATTCAACAATAGTATTTTTTTTGTTAACTTTTTTTATAATTACATATTTATATCAATATATTTCGAGTCTTCCCTTCAACATGTTGTATTTTATTTAAAATCACAAAACAATTTGAGTCATCCCTTTAACAATAAAATACTTATATTAACAAAAAAAAATATATTAAAAGCAAAATAGAATTAAAGATTTATATCTTATTTTAGATTTTCTACTTATATCTCATTAATTTTTTTCAACATAATAACTTTATTTATTTATTTTTTTACTAAAATTAGACTTCCCACCAATTTTTCAGTAAAAGTAAATTCCCCCCAAATTGACCCCTAAAAATCCAAACATTCTCCGAGCGTTTCCCCCAATTCCCTCTCTCTTTCGCTTTTCCTAAAAATCAAGAAACTGAAATCGACGATTGTCTCTCCTCTATTACTCTGCATCCGTCAAAACGTATCCATCGATCCCCTGCTACCGAACACGTCTGCCACTTAATCCGATTGGGCATTGGTGCACAAAGTTGGGGGTCACTTCACACCGTGTCCTCTTCGAGAATTCAGGTTTCTTACTAGAGCGTGAACCATCTGACTAGGTATTTATATATGTAGCTGACTCAACACCGAAAAATCCTGCAACTCCTTCTCACTCAGTTTATTAACACTGGTAGTATAACATACGAATCGCTAAATCACATCATAGTAATACGATTTAGGTGTATGTATACGTTAGTTTTATGAATTTAGTGATATATTGTATCTGCTATTGACAACCCATTGTAATGCTTCATCAACAAATTTCAATTCAGATGTTAATTTCGTAAGAAAAACACAGGCAATAAGCATATATTTTCTTTGGAGTTCTCATAGCATCACACATTAGATTGCATCGAAACTTTGAAATTTCTATATTTCTTCAAACTACTAGCTGATTTTAGTCCTAGAAAACTGTATGTTTGTAGTTTTAATGCTTCATACAATTTGATTATGATGAAATGCCAAGATTTGCTCAAGCCCCACCATCTCTCCGAATGACTTTGTATTTATGAGTTTATTTGAAGTATATTTGTTGGATTTGGTTGAGATTCAATGGGAGCATGATTTCTAAGGGCATGAGTTCATATGGTAATTTTGTGTTCTGTTATAATTTATAAAATAGGTCTATTAATGATCGTACTTGGTTATGGTGGTTTCCTTTTATAACTTGGAATTTGTGTAATTATGTAATACATGGTATGATTCTTTTGATAGTCTAGATAATGTATCTCTTGTTTCTTGTTTTTGATTTTTTGGGAATACCTAAGCAGTTAGAAAGTTTTAAATTGCTATTTGTTAATTTTACATTATATATGGTAGTTAATATGATTTGTTTGTTAATTTTACATTCTAATATTATATTTTCACTGTACAAGGTTGTCCTGGCGTCTATTTGTTATTCTTCTCCATCTATAAACTTATTGGTGCTTCCTTTTTTTTTTTTTGTCTAAATTCCCTATTCCCTCTCAAGAAAATGCATGCAAGGAAGACCACAAATGAGTAAATTCACAAATCCCTTTTATGATTTAGTGATTTTCAAGTTAATCATATCCTAATACTTACACATATTTCATATGAAACTTCAATATGTCATGCTTTAAGTTTGTAGCAATATTATTATTCAATCTTTTAACATAGTATAATCTTTACTTTTGTTTGCAGAAGGTAAAGGGCAACCTTCATTCTAGTGTTTTGTCGTGAAAGGATTCTAAGAAGTATCTTATTTGAAGGTAATTTCAACCCACAAACATATAACCTTCTTCAACATTATGATTATTTTAAGGTACTCCTTCCGTCCCATTTTTATTGTCTACAGACAAAAAAACACAAAGTTTAAGAAAACAATAATTACTGATTACTTTAATCAGTAAAATGACATTTATACCCTTTTTTAAAAAAGCTTACATTACTCTCTTTTAAAATTCTAGATTTTTAATTACTCTATATGCAATAGAAACTTTGCGGTAAAATATTTACTAAACAAAAGTAATAATCTTATTTTAAAAATTTTGTTTTCTTTTGGTAAACAAAGGGAGGTAAAAGTGCCGCCATATTTTAATGTCAAAATCACCTAAATTTTTGACTATTCATATCCTAACTGAAAGAATTTTAATCGTCAATTTTTTTTTCAACCACTTTTAAATTTCATATTCTTTTGGTGGCAAATATGCCACCATAACTATGTACATAACAATAAATTTGCCTATATTTATTTGCATCTAACAGTTCGTAATACACCATATTCAAGTTTACTCTCATTTGACACTTAAATTTCATATGGAGCATTTCATAAATCCACTCACTAAAAAAAACACTACCATTGCACAACGTCATGCTATATTGCAAGTCTTATTGCAAGAAAGTTTTGATGGACGATTAAAGAAAGGTTCCGCAAGTGAAGTAGCTTCACTATTCTCAGTTTCTAAACGAACCGTTAGTCGTATTTGGCGTCAAGGTAAACATCAAGTTGACCAAGGATTACCGGTTGATTTATCTTCAAACATGTCAATGGTTGTCGGGCGGAAAAGGATACAAATAAATTTGAATCAAGTTTCAGAAATTCCGTTACGTCGTCGATCCAATATACGATCTCTTACAAAATCTTTAAATGTTTCAAAATCAACTATGCATAGACGGATTAAGGTAGGTGTGCTTCGACCGCATACAAATGCCATCAAGCCGACTCTAACTCATGAGAATAAAAGAGCAAGGTTAGAATTTTTTTATCAAAGATTACGTTGTCATCATTATTTAGTCCACTTCCTACATTCTACGATATGTTTAATGTTGTCCATATTGATGAGAAATGGTTTTACATGTCAAAACCATCCAAACGTTACTATCTAGTCCCCGGTGAGGATGAACCGTTAAGAACATGCAAAAGCAAAAAATTTATCACAAAGTTATGTTTCTAGCGGCGGTAGCAAGACCGAGATTTGATTCATCGGGCAACAAAGTTTTTTCGGGAAAAATAGGTATCTATCCATTTACAACATTGGAACCCGTTAAACGTTCAAGCAAAAACCGTGTTGCGGGAACATTGGAGACAAAGCCTATTCTATCGGTGAACAAAGAGATAACAAAGTCATGGTTGATAGAAAAAGTTCTACCGGATATTAGAGCTAAATGGCCGCGAGGTCATACGGGTCCCATATTTATTCAACAAGACAACGCAAAGCCCCATGTTGATGTTAATGATAGCGAGTTTCTTGAAGCGGCATCTCGAGATGGGTTTGATATTCGACTTTGTTTTCAGCCCCCAAATTGCCCGGATTTGAATGTGTTAGACCTTGGATTTTTCCGGGCAATACAATCACTTCAAGAACAAGAGGCTTTAGGTACAATTGATGAATTGGTTGGTGCGGTTCAAACAACTTTTAAAAGAATGCAATCACAACAACTTAACAATGTTTTTTAACTCTACAAACATGCATGAAAGAGATCATGAAGATTCAAGGTGTCAACAACTATAATGTACCGCATATTGGTAAAAATAGGTTAGAACGACAAGGTAACTTGCCACTCCAAATTGAGTGTGATGAGTGTTTAATAGATGATGCTATAATGTTTTTGAACCATTAAAAATTGCTTATCAAAAGTTTTTGTAAAAAACACTTCACTGTGTTTTGATTTTATTGTAATGAAAACGTAAATATATTTCTCTTTTGGAATTGAAGTTCACCAATTTATTGCCACTGTATCTTTTGTTTTCGTAAAGTAAATATTCTAATTTACTCTTATTTTCCTTCTCAAAAATTAGAATATTAAAGATAGGATAGATGACTCAAATAAAGGGTAAAATTGTAAAAGTGCACATTTATTTTTAGCAACGATAATAATTTTGGGACAACAAGAAATAGGAAGGTAGACAATAAAAATGGGACGGAGGGAGTATTTTTTTATTTACTCTTTTAGTATGTTAAAGATAAACCATTTCGATGCAGGTCTTGATGGATGCATGCAACACTTTGTGTTTCGCTCTCGAGTGTTCAAAAAAGGATAGTTGCTTCCATAAAACATAAGAAAATGCTTCTTGGAATTTTGTTTGGAAGCTTACGTCAGTATGCATGCTAGTAACTACTCTGTATGATGTTTCAATCCCAAATTGATAATATTACTCTTATTATTTTTCTTAGTTTAAAAAATTGGTGTTTACATATAATTATAAGATTTTAGTATATGTTAATATCCTTTTAATTGTATTGTTTCTGCACAATGCTGCCAATTCATATTTAATACAATTTATCTACCTAGTCATTTAATTTTTCATTGTCTTTTTGAATAGTGTGATCAAAGTCGAAAAGGGGCATTTTAAAGTTGAATGCTATTGTTGGTATTCTCTATGTGGAGTTGTTTTGATTTGGATTTTTCAGCTCTAAAATGGAATATAATACGAAAACTGGGACTATTTTACTACAAAAGGGCAATATGGTCTTTTACATTTTGTGGCGTTCAAGATGCAGGTACAGACCGTAGTAACAATTTACGTCCCCTTCAAAGTGGGACTATTTTACCACCCTATGGTGTATGATCTGGTGCAATTAAAAGAATAGATGAAAAAAATGGCAATTTGGTCCTTTTTTATAGCTCTTATTCAATACAATTATATTGTTATTTGTTTTTGTTTTTATTATTTTTATTTTTTTTGGTTTGTTCATTTTTTATTCTGCCAAATGATATCAAAGATAAAAATTGTCAAATTTATGAGTCTTCCAAAAAGTCTAAAATTGTCATTTTTTTGTATAATAACTTAACCAGGAAACAATTTTAGTTTTACAACAATAAATTTTCATTTTATAAAGACTATTCTTTAAACTTAAAAATACAATAGTACAACCAGAATGGACATTACATAACTATAGTAACATATTCAATGAACGACCCCTAATTATACCGATAAGAAATTATTGTTCTTTTTATAACTATATTTGCATATAGACACGTTAATAGCTGTAATCATAACTAAACGCTACCTACACTCACAATATTTGTTTCTTCTCAAAGCCAATTCATCATATTTTGACACACATGATAAAACGTACATAACCATAAACAACCAATACCAACTTGTTTTTCGTTTCTTGCGTTAACTAAGTATAACTAGTATAGAACCGCCATATGGACACACAAATATTTAGTGTTACCATATGTATCACATTTTAGCTACTTTGTTTGTTATGTGTCTAAAAAGACTCCAGGTTATAGACACACATACAACTGCCTCATGTCACAATACGTTTATCTACTATCGCTCCTAAAAAAAGTATGACAATGATAATCGATACCTGTGGCTGATTGTGACCTATGGCCTCAATGTTCGAGTGTGACTAATATTTGTCACATTTGGTATAATTAAGTGTGGTTAAAGTTTTGATTATCTATAAAATGGCCACACAAACTAATTTAAATGTATCCAAAAACAGTTTGTAAAATTTTTTAATGACATTTGGCCACACTTTTAATACAAAATGTGGCAGGCCATCAAAACACATCAAAACACCTACTAAAATATTGAGATACAAAGGACCGACTTGCACCTGATTCAAAAAGCACAAAAGAAGACGAGGAATTCACTAAGAAGGTACCTAGTAGAATCATAAACATAAGCATACCATAAAATAAATGATTGAATAATAAATAGAAACATAACAGTAATGACATCCGGTGCCGCCCTGGCCTGCTCAGTAGTAAGCTGGAAAGCACGACCTCAATCCCTTGGGGGCTTCAACTTACTTTGGCATCCATCTGTGATCCTCAAAGTAGCTGGCGTTGGAGCCTGCACCAGTTGGCCGCAAGCAATCAATATTTTTCCTTCACATGGCGCTTGGTGGTGGGGCCTAATGGTGAGAATCCTTGGTATAATTCCCCTCCTTGCCACATTTGTAGCATCCAAATGAAGATCGGCAATAACAACCATGAATCTTGCCAGACTTGACACAAGTGCGGCCTCTCCGTGCCCTAGATTTGAAATCATCAGGCTTGAACCACTTTGCTACAGGAAGTGATTAAATAGGAGCTTGCCTCAACTTATTCATTTAAATATCTATCTCAATCTCTCACCTCCTTGTAGCATCCTGATGCTTAGTGAGGGTATCATAACTCTCGGTGGACATAAATTGTTAGATATTCGTCTTAAGCATGCTCAAGTACCAAGTCATATGAGTCTGCTCAGAAGCATTAAACCCAAGCCAGAAAAGAGCCCTCTAAGTAAACATCTTGGTGACCTTCCAGGGTCGGATTTGGGTACCGTTTGTTGGAGGAACGCGTACCATCTTGATGGAGGAGGCACATAAATCGAGATTCTCGATCCATCCCGGAGCCACTAAGATGTTTCTAGATCTTAAAAAGGAGTATTGGTGGCCCTATATGAAGAGAGATGTAGCATGGTTTGTTGAGACGTGCCTAACCTATCGTAAGGTTAAGGCCGAACATTAGAGACCGCATGATAAGTTGCATGTCACACCCCAAAACCGAGAACGGCGGAAACGTTCTGGGGCGGAGGACGTCATGTATGCATCACAACAATTGCAAAGTAGTAAACAAGCAACAACATCATCCATTGCATTAATAGTATAATTTTAATTACAATTGTTTTCTTTCATAGTACAAGACAACAAGATAACTAATCAAAATAAAAGACGAGTCTTGACTGCTCCGTCTTCTCTAAACCTTGCATCGGCACCTATCTATTTGTAACCTGAGAATACAAGTTATTTTGAAAGTGTAGATCAGCATTTAAGCTGGTGAGTTCATAAGTATTTAATGTTATTGCTTTGATTAGTTGTTATGAAAGACTGGTGAATGATTGATGAAACATTTAGTATAAGTATGAAAAACTCTAGAAAATCCCTTATTTCCTACTAGTATAAAAGCAGTCTCCTACCAAGACTCGAATGTTTTGAAAGTACGCATCACTTGAAAATGTGACGGTTTTTCCCTGTTTAACTATTATTAGTTAGTCCCTTAAGTATACCTGAAATGGTATCAACCTAAAACATCCGTAGATTGTTCATTTACCTCTGTTGCTAACAGCCGGGTTTAGGAATAGTTGGTCTCTTATGTATACCCGCGATGGTATCAACCTAAAACATCCGTAGATTGTTCATTTACCTCTGTAGCTAACAGTGGTTCTCGGAACGGTTAGTCCCTCAAAGTACCCTTTAGTACTAGGATATAAAGTCCAATCTATCTCGTCGATGATGTGATTGTATCACAAGGTAAAGATAGAAAGGCGAACTATATAACAGTATCTAGACATCTAACATGTAATAGTAATTTGCCATATAATGTCTATGTAAAAGTATTCATGTATAAGTATTCATGTAAGAGTATTCTTTCATATAGCATGTAGTCTAGACTCATGAATGAACTGACTCTGGTGTAATTTCTTGTAGTAGGGAAAATGTTTTGTTTACTCTAAACTATTCCTATAATAGTTTACTAGAATGTAATTGATGAGTGTCCAAGTAGGTTTATACCCCTTGCTACCCAAGAGTATCGGAACTAAATTTACTGATGGAACATTTATGACCATATATGTATACATGATATATAACTAATATTTAAACGACCTTCGGAGGAGTACCCGATATCCCACCAGACCACATCCAAATCGAGGAAAAGGAAATAGGGTGGATAGCCTTCCTAAGTCTTTTAAACATTTCTTATATAACTATACATATAGAGGCATGCAATTTATAATATAAAAGCATAAAGAAGTTTTGTAAATCCGTTGAAAAGTCTAATAAAGAATTTGTGACTTGATGTCAGTTTATAAAATGATTGAAAGTGTTTTGTTTGATAAGACAGTTTAAGTACACAAGAAACCACTGTTTGAAAACACCTTTGTAGCCGAGTTTGAAAGGAAGCTTACAGTGTGTAAGACAGTTTGATAAAGAGCTTTAATCATGTAAAAACATTTAAGAAAGTCATTTGAAGTAATATGTTTAGTAAAACTGTTAAACTTGTAGTAAATCCATTTGTATACTAGTTATAAATCCCATATGATTGATTTATTAACAACAAGTATCCCAAAATATTGATGTTTTTCGTGCCAAAATAATCGTATGTTTGTAGTACCAAAGATGGACACATATACATACAGTATAAGCAGAGTGTTTGATTATATATATATATATATATATATATATATATATATATATATATATATATATATATATATATATATATAAACACTTTTTATTTCAAAAGCTATGATGTTATCATGATATATTTTGCATACAAAAGTTTCCTATAAGGTTTATAAATCACATATGATTCTACTTAATAAAAGTGTATAATAATGTTTATATATATAACACCTGATAGTAGTCGAGTATTTAACTTGTATTCCCCCCCTTAAAAGCATATAAAAGTATTTTTATAAAACATTTAAAAGTGTAGTTTATAGGGGTATGAACTCACTTGATTGATTGAAGAAAGCGTGATGAAAACCAAGCAGAACTTCTACTCGAGAAAGCGGATCCCTCGAGATTCTCGGGAAATCTCGGGAGTCTCGGGAGTGTAAAACTTTCTTCCCACCTTGGATATGAAAACCGGGCCTTTGGGATGATTCCGAGGGTTGAAACGCAGAGCTTCGGCGTGAGAAAGGAAGGAAATTAGCAATTTTGGCAGGCACCCTCGCATCCTTTTTATAGGGTTTGAGAGGTTGCGTTACGCGGGGCGTACTCATGCGTCATGCATGAGCGCATCCTCGGTCGAAACATTGGAGCGAAGTGGATGAACCGGAGCCTAGCATCCGAGTACGCTGGGCGTACGACGGTACGCTGGGCGTACGAGAGATCGGACCGGTGACTCCTTCTTCGGATAATACCGGGCTTTAATTTAATTTATATTTAAATTAATTAACAAACTTCAAAAATTCATATCTTTCTCATACGAACTCCGTTTTCGACGTTCTTTATATCCACGCGAAGGTGAGACTATGATCTACAACTTTCATTTAGACTCCATTGGCTAGTTTTGACTTTATTTTTAATATTATATTTTTAATAGGTCGGGACAGGAAAAGTCCGTTAAAGTTCCATAACTTCTTCATCCGACGTCCGTTTTCGTCAGGCTTTTTACCTTTGAGCTAGTATTGTTAAGCCCTTCGATTCTCATTTAGATTGTGTCGGCCAAAAGTCTCTCGATCTCTATTTCGAGTTTTTAGCTGTCTACTGTTATATCTGTAACTTAGAAAAATCACAACTTCCTCATACGAAGTCAGATTTGGACGTTCTTTTTATGTACGT